TTTAAAAAAACGCATCTGATTATTAATGTCAAATGCAACCCACTGCACTCAGTCAGATATATCGTTAAATAAGTCCTAAACGAAGCGTTCCAGGGCAATAAAAATTTTAAGGCCAATAGCCTCAAAGAGACGTTCATCACACTGTTATTTAGAGGATGAAGTAGATTTACAGGAATTATTGGACATTCTATTAAATTTTTGCTGTTTCGGCACTTATCGATACTACTAATGTCACCAAGATTTCAACCCATGGTGATAATACTCATCTTTGTTACGTCACACTTAGAAGGCTTAGATTCTTCTATCTTATACTATTTATGCTTTTTGTGTACATCGTGGTTTCCGAAGACTGACGAGGTTTAGTAGCATAATTATTAATTCAAAATTCGCTTTCGCAGCAACAACTAGAAGTACTATTAAGAGTTGGTTCATACCTATGAAGATAGTTTCTTATGCGTGGAGTGAACACATTTATTTAACGTTTTGTCGAGGTCTACAAGTGCTGTGTACCTAATTGTGGAGGATGTAAGTGTACAGTGAAGAGTGAAGACGTGTCTTGTTAGGTTTGGTTTGTGTTTTACCTGTACCAGTATTTCATTATCAGCAGTGATTCGGTGAAACTTTCAAGTCAGCCACGTAGCTTTCTTAATACAGCTCTCAAGAATAAAAGCTTTTTAAATATTTTTATGACTATTATGAAAAGCGAAAAGCTAACTGTCAAAGAATATTGAATAATTACTTTAAATATTTGTAAGGGAGTGTTGTGAATTGTTCCAAGAAATATCTCGATAATACTGAATAAATATTTAATGAACATCTCTTGTCCACATCGATTGCATTGTTTTTTTTATTTGATACTGTGTTAGTACAGTGAAAGTTATTTTATACATTTTGAACCAAATAAATACGTGTTATTAACAACTTTCCCTCTGGGAATGGAAATAGAAGAATAGGGAAGAGTGTGGGGTTTAAGAGACGAGAGTTCTCAAACGGGTACGCGGAGGTAGTAGGGGAAAACTTGTGCTAAGGCACATCACAAAGAATGAGCAGTTTAAATGATTAAATTGAAGTAGCTTAAAATAAAGGAAAACAAAAATCTAAACGCGTTGGCCTACATTACTATGCGAATTAATTTAAGAAAGCAACCAAATTTAAAATTATAAAAAGAATAGCGCATGTCACTCCACAACTGCCAATGGTCACTTTCCAGACGCACGATTTAAATGTTGGCGGTATACGGAAATCACTGCCCAGTTGTAAACTTCTATATTAGAATAAATACACCGTTAGCTTAAGGTGTTGGTTCGCCAAGATATTCAATACGTAAACATCGTTTGAGCAACATTCCCATGTATCGATGTGAAGTTTAAGTGTACAGAATTGTTTCTAATGGTAACAAATGATATTTATTACTCAAAGGTGAATATAATAGTATTATAATTTTTTGGCTCGCAATAGTTTTTCTTGAGGTACGTATGAACGCAGAAAAATATAAAAAAAATTTAGTATACAAATATTTTTTTCGATTTTCGCACCCCAGCATGCTGGTGCCCTTCCCCTCCAAAACCCCCTTTATTCCTCTTAAGAAATTCAGGGAAGGGTTGTGCTTGCTTGATTTTGTAATTCAAGATTCACTCTCTTCTGCTTGCTTGATAGCGATGAAGATTGTTTCTTATGCGTGTAGTAGAACCATTCATTTAACGTTTTGCCTTGGTCCACAAGTGCGGTGTGCTTAATTGTAGAGTGAACTACGATGGAAACTGACCGCATGTTCTCAAGTTTCAGTTTTACGATACCCTTAGAAAAAATTATATCTCTGCCTTCATTTGTAGGATTCCTACGCTACAAACGAATGTAAATATTGACATTCTTGTTTCTGTCGCAAGTTTGTGACATAACCTACATTGCCCATGCACTTGATATGGCACCACATTATACATATCTACTAATCACTAAACGTTCATATTATTGTTATTCAAAATCTATTTGTCTGTTTCTAACACTCATCCCTGAAATTTCAAACTCTGCCAATTTAAGTTAATACGCCTTATTCGACAACGCAGTTCAAGAAGGGGAATTATTTTTCTGAAAGCATGAATTAAAAATGAAATTTAATGATTAAAAAAACTAAATGGTAATAAATTGTTGCTTACTGGTGAAAATATTAGTTTTATTATTTTTTGGTCTAGAGTTTCTTTTCTTGACGTACGTAAGGACGTGAGAGGGTTCTCGCCCAGGTAGGCTAGTTGTAATTAAATCTTCTAGTCATATAGCAGAAGTTAGTATCGGCCTGTTAATAAATTAATTTTCGAGTTTATCCAAAACCTCATAGAAGACAAATGAAAAAGAAAAATGAAAAATCGCACGCGAAAAGAGGAGGCTCTTTTGAGACAATTGTGGTCCCCAATTTTTGCCACCCCTAAAATTTTGTCGCCGTAGGCACTTACCTTCTCTGCCGATGTCGTAAATCTGCCCTTGCCTCCACGCTGTGTAATATTGTGCTTTGTAACTTTATTTATACATTTGACTGATACAGTACTCGCGGCAAGTTAAACAGAAAAGAACAACGCATTGTTGCCAGCGCAGAGTTGTCAAAACCATGTGCATTCGCTTGTCTAATAATATCAACATAGTAATTAGAATATAAGCAATTGACATCAAAATAATTACGATAATTCTGGATTCTTACTCCTAGGTTGCCTTTCGTCGTTTTATTGATTTTCTTTTATTCAATACGTAGTAAATTTTTTAGGGATCAGATGTCTGTTGTACAAAATAAAGTAAATAAATTCTGAAACGAACCATTCTTCTAGCAGTGCGCAGTTTATGTCATTTCGTCATGTATCCACATTTTGAGGATGAGCTTTGCGGTGAGATTAGATAGGACAATACAGTGTAACTTTCTTTGCCTGTTGATCTTATGTATTTGTGTGTGTGTGTGTGTGTGTGTGTGTGTGTGTATATAAGTGAGTTTTTAATTACAATTAGATCTTCTGTCATCACCACTCTTGCTCCACAGGACAGAACGTCTAGAGCATGTTATTTCGAAAGGTTGCCGAATTCTGACGTTTTCCAGGCTAGATGTGTAAGAATTCTACCAGCAGAGAACGATAAGCCTAATTTTCATTAAAATGATTGGGAATCTAATTTAACTCCTAAAGAGAAGAGTCATAGACGCCCCTCTGGACTGAGTGATGAAAGTCAAATTAGCACTGTAAAAAAGTGTTTTGGCTGATTATGTTTTGATTCTATGAAAGAAAAACAAAGGAAATGGCAAACGCAAGATCGTGGGTAGCCTCAGGTGCCAGGGAACGCCAAGGTCCGCGGCAATATCTGAGAATTAAATGCCCCGTGAGGAACTACTAGATTCAGCATTAACGTTTCTTTGGCAAAATACATAATTTTTGTACTGGCTTTGCGGTCGTGACCGACGCTGTTTTCACCTGCACCGTTCTAACATTGCCTGTAGAGTCAGGAAAAATCTAAATAATGACTCCAACTTTCCACAAAGGTGGAGGAGAATCTTCAATTAAAATGACCAGATCACCTTCCTTCAGATCTGGCGTAACAGATTTCCATTTTGTGCGAGCTTGTAGTGAGGTAAATAAATTCTTGTCCAGAATTTCGAAAAGTGTTCATTTACCTTTTCACCGTATGATAACGACGGGATGTTCATAATTCCTGCTTTGATTCTTGATGGAAAGCCAGTGTGTTGAGCGAGTGTCCATATATTAAACGATTTGGAGTTATTGTGAAAGTTTCGGTGTCCTTCTCAGAGTAAACCATTAAGGGCCGTGAGTTTAATAAGCGTGGTGTATGTGTCAGGAAAGTATGGAATTCAGAAAGGGCAA